ATCTTTGTCAAACTACTTCATTATACTTTGGAGAGTGTTGTTGAGACTTTTAGACTTGAAGCGAGACTTGCAGTTGCTGTCACTCGCACAAAGCGACAAGAAATCATCGCCCACCTCATGAAAGTTGAAGTCCCATCTTGATATCCAGAAGAATTTATCATCGGGTGCTCCGGAAGTTGCTGCGACGCTGTCCAGCACATATCCAGTCACCTGCGGAGGGGCCAAGTGCATGAGCCTTTCCGCAAAAATTGTTCCATAGCTGACGCCATACACGATGGTATCAACTCCATTTGTGTATTTGGTCATGAAAGTCGCGGCAACTGTCGTCACAGAAAAAGATGCAAGGTCCCATATTTGATTTGCAGTTCTTCGGCGCATGCGGGAACCTCCGACGGATCAATTTTGCTGCCTTTTGGGGATCCCGTGGTGGTGACTTGAGCTGCCACACAATCAAACAATGTGCTGCGTCCTGTGCCACGGTGGTCCATCGTGTACACGTTTACTGTTCCTTCCAGCAGCGAGTGCAACGTCTTCATCGGGGCCTCCACTGAAACGCGCACGTAATGATGAGAAGGAATCAAGATACGTCAACCATGTCAGTAAGACTTCAACTATTGCGATCTGATACCCATTCCACTTACTGTTTGTTGATGAGTCTCCAGGTTCACCTTGAAGTATCCACACATTGGAAGCAATTTCGGTGTCGATTGTCGTGGCTGGGATACTTGACAAAGATCTCGACCTTCTGGCTAATGCCTTTAGGTGCCTCACAAATTCCAGGATAGCACAATGGCGCGCTGAATACGGCGCACTGTGCCCCGTGAATAGTAGAACTACTCCCAGTAGAACTACCTTCATCCGAGAATGTGTAGTCTGCGCAGGGATACCAACCATTGAGGACGCTCTTCGAGGTATTCATGCATACGGCGGGGGCAAAAATGCAAACCACTGCCGATGCAAAGGCAAGTCAAAACTGCATATCACTTGCGAAGACTTATCGAGAAATTGGAAACTGAGACTCTCTGTGTTCAGTTGTGGCACTCCACCATCCGGTGCTGAGAGCACATCGCAAAGAAACAGAGCGAATGGAGTTGCATCGAAGCTAGTGCATTCCACAATATAGTAGCGCTGTACTGGGTTTGCCTGGAAAGTTTACTTGCACAACCTAGACGCAATCTAATAGTGATGCCAATTCACAGCCGTATGGGTGCCACGATAGCTTAGGGAGCTCTCGGAAAACACGTAAGTGGAGTGATTTCCGTAGCCCGTTAGGATCCTGATGCTGTTCTTTCTCATTCCTAAAAAGAATTTCGGATAGGAGGATATCCATACCCCACCCCCTCCAATTCCAAGTCAAACTTAGTTGAGGGAACGCTACGGGAATCAGTCTCGTTTATCTTAATGAGATCAAAGTTTGCTAAATATTTGGACACGATATCACCTGCCACTTCAATTGGAATTCACGTGCAAATTACTACAGTATTGCATAGTTTACGTTATTCGCAGTAGTTATTTTTTGCCTCTGCATACCAAGAACATGTAAGAGAAAGGTGTACTTTCATTTGCTGAATTAGGGCCCACCGGGCACTACGATGCATATCTGGCTATCTTGGCACTATAGCTCAAGCAATTCACGATTCATGAGTGGTCGCGAGGAATCGCCCCTTCTTGCTGTTTCTGACCTATAGCAAACCGACTTGTCAGATTTATTTAACCGAAATAATAAATATCACTTTCGAATCAAGTACTGGTATCGATATCAACCTGAGGGACAGCTGTGTAGATCCGTAGCACCCGAAAACTTTTAATTAACAATTCTCCGTCAAGCCACTGGCCCACTAGAAATGTAGTAACTGCTACTTTTTATAACTTGGGAGAGAGTTACACATCAAGGTTTTTAGCTCATCCAAAATTGATAATAGTAGCACATTTCCATCACGCAACCGGATGAGGGGCATAATGTAGTGCATTGCAGTGAGTCGAAGGGCGCGGTGAGGCGGGTCGACTTTATCGGTGAAGAGGAGAAACCGGAGTGAGTGGCTTCTCCTTCGCTACTGCTAGCACTACCGTATCTATATCGGGTACCTTCGTCCTCCTTAACTGAGCTTGATCGCAGTTTGCATCCTTCTGCTTCCGGAAATAGCAGTATCCACTCGCGGATACTGAACCGATCGTTCACATTGCTAAACTCGATTATATGCATCGTAACCGCGTTATTTTTTCAATAACATTAAGAACGTCATATCTGGAGTCATAAATTCTCGCAAGTTACAAGTATTTATAAAAAGGACACATCGTTATAGTCTGCGCGATCCGAAACAAGACAGTTTGAGTTCCTGTTTCCCTTGCTGAGGCTAGCAACCCCACTTTTCATTTCGCCTTCTCTTAAACAAGTGTTTCTCAAGGTCCAGCCATGCGACTTCATTTTTGGGGCTTACTGATCGCTTTGGCCTTCATTTTTTCATTCGGAGATGCTGTCCAGACGGAAAACGAAGACCTCAAATCGACAACAAGTTCGAAGATATCATTGATGGGGCGCTCGCGCTTGAGTCGCAATGGTCTCAGAGCCTGACGTCAACGACAAACAACTGTTGAGGGGCTCTCAAAACGAGAACAACGATGAAGAGCAAGGTCTGACCGATGTTGTGAATCGACTGACATCAAGGTGCCCTTGACAGGAAATTGGGTCGCCAACTTTGGGCTTTGTACGCGCGTGGAGAAACCTCAACGACATTATACCAAAAGTTTCCAAGCATATGAGTCAGTCGTTGGGGGGCATTGTGTTGTACTGATTGCCGGCAGCCTCGAGTGAGGGCGTGGTGAGGCGAGTTAAAACGCGGTCGAACTGCGAATGAGCTCCTACAGCGATCCTACAGACTATTTTTCCTTGTGTTCTTGTCGGCTAAACTGAGCGTTGATTGGGAAACTCCTATCCTCCATCCGGAAACCAGAACATACTCCGCATGTACTCTAGTGGTAAAAAGCAAAAAATCCTCTTTGGCGTGCGATAAACACAGCGTACCTACAATGATATCCGCCGTTGGTGGATCATAGGTACCAGTCATATTTTTGAGTCTGCACGATGTTACAGCCGTGAAG